AAAAAAAAAAAAAAAAACTCAGGTAAGAAATAGAATAAGTATTTCTAAGTAACCATAGTATGAGGTTGAAATTGATATATCGTAAGAGAGAGATGGATACAGAGCTATGGTAGTACAGTAGAAGAGTAACACTCTTTACAACGTATTTTCACAACTACCTTGTAAGGAACGTAGTCCTCATTTTACAGATTAAGGACTTTCTGGCAAACCCAACACTCAAAGCCAAGTCTTTTGATAATATTTTCATGTCACTTTATCATGTTGTTATTATGAAGAAATGATTTCTGGCTGAAGGCTTGACCAATAGTTATCAAGGATGGGCATTCCAGGCAAAAGAGGCAAAGAAGCAAAAAAATACAGAGATTGGTGACTAGTTTGGTTGAGCTGGTGAAAAAGTTGAATGAAAGTAGATAAAATTATGTAGGCTGGAGTCATGTAATCACAAATTCTAACACTCATCTAAGAGATCTGAGCTTTTTTACTTGGGTAGGGAGCCACTATAGCACATTTTTGAGCAAGGGTGTGACATGATAAAATTTTTTGATTTAGGAAGATTCATCCTAGCTGGAATATGTAGGATATTTTGAAAGGGAAAGGAGACTCGAAGTGGGAAGATCCATTTGGAGACTATTACTGTAGTGCCAGTGAAAGATTATGGAAAGTGATCCAGAGTAAAAGAAGGGGGTAGGAGTGATGCAAGAGATGTTATGGAGGACTTGATAGGACTAAATAATTTTTCACCTGGAGGAAAAAAGAGAAAAAAGAGGCCAGGCTGAATAAGTTAAACCTGGTGACTGGGAGAGCATTGGTGCTATTAACAGAAACAGAAGTTGAAACAGGTTTTAGACTTAAGATGAATTAAGTTTTTAATTTTTTTCGTTGTTATGAGTATTTATGGGGTACAAAGCTGACTGTGACTACTCATGCCCAAAATGTAGTGGCCAGATCCATACTGGCAGCAAGCCCATGACCACAAATTCCAATTATACCCCATGTCCCCCATCTCTGACCTGCCTCCCCATCCCCCTTAATTTGAGGTACCAGCAGTGCATATGGGGATGATATCCAGGGGGCTTTTGAAAATTTAAGACTAAGGTTCAGTGAAGACAGAAAATGTAATTACATGGATTTGAGAATAAGGAGATGATTGAGGCTCTGAGATTGAATAGGATCGCCGGAGAGAAAGTAGAAAGATACAAGTCATATGTAGATTTAGTGGATACATTTAAAGTGTAGAATGAGGAAGAAGACACACAAGAAGAACTATGGGACTATGTGATGAAGTAAAATTCCATGATTTATATAAATTAGAAATTTATATAACATAATTACATAAATAGGACATTCACAGATGGAAGTTATAATAAAAACATTCAGTACAAGCTCTTTTTTGTTTTAAAAAAAATATTTACTTGCAGAGTTAGGTTTCTGAACCAGCTTTAATAGTAGTAAAAACTGAAGATATTGGAGCCTACCTTCTATATGACCCACATGTGGATATTTTTGCTAATAGGGATACCTAAGGAATATTGTACTCCTAATGAAGATGTGTTTTACAGGAAAAACTCAAGACTGTTCTTCTTTGAAGCTCCATCACTGTCCGGTAAATCACAGTTGGGATAGTACCATTTCTGCATCTCAGAGGATGACATTATGTGATCACAAGACTGCCCCATGCTCTACAGCAATAATAAATTCACTCTTAGCTGAAGGAAATTCAGGTATTTGTTTACTGCGGGACACTGTAAATGATGCCATTTACCTAACAAATATATGTTCAGTCGATTTGCCATACAATAAGCTTTATTTGTCTTTATTAACTCAATATGTTAAGTACATACCTTTTTAAGTAGGAAAGCACTTCCGATCCCAGAAGACAGGAATGCTGACAAATAAGAATAGGTCCAAATGGTATTCATGAACATATAACTAGAAAGGGAGTACTAAGAAGAGGTTAATATGTCACAAAAGGTAAAGTTATTTTTGTTTATTTAACAAATATGCAGGCATCCTTTGTATTTGAAACAAAACAAAACAAAAATCAAAAACTGAAAAATAAAGTAGTTTTTGCCTCATGATTTATAGCATATAAAAGGGCGGTGCTGCTCCTGGGCTGTGAGGGGTAGATAACCCAGATCACCGAACGTTCCCTGAAAAATAACAGCATCCCCCCTAAAATACTGATGTTCAATATTGGCACAATCATAGAAAAATTAATTTTATGCCTACTTTCTTTTTCATGTAATTTTTTGTTAAATATATCTGTCCTCGCCTTTTTAATTGTCCTTGCTCTTCTACAGAGCGTCTGCAGCCTGGGATAGCCCAGCAGTGGATCCAGAGCAAAAGGGAAGAAATTGTGAACCAAATGACAGAAGCCTGCCTTAACCAATCACTAGATGCCCTTCTGTCCAGGGACTTGATCATGAAGGAGGACTATGAACTTATTAGTACCAAGCCTACAAGGACTTCAAAAGTCAGGCAATTACTGGACACTACTGACATCCAAGGAGAAGAATTTGCCAAAGTTATAGTACAAAAGTTGAAAGATAACAGACAAATGGGTCTTCAACCTTACCCAGAAACACTTATGGTTTCTAGATCACCATCTTTATTTCAAAATAAAAGCTTATAAGTGAGTCTTTTTCAAGAAGAAAAGTCAGTCTGTAAAAGGATATTTATCTTTCTGTTGCCTTGACATTGTTTTTATAAAATCCATACGAGTATTAGAAGCTTTACTGAAGATTCTTCTTTGGGTAAATATTAGTCTCCTTCTGTGACATTGCAGTATTTTTTTAAATTAATGTAACTAAAAAGTTTTCATTTTGCTACATATTTCATTTTTTTTGTCTCTTTTGTTAACTGAAACTTTTTTAAAGTGTAATAATTATATTGTTCTTGTTCATAACAGTGTCTTAAGTTATAATGAGTTTCTGATGGAAGCCATTTCAAATTCACTTTCTTTGTGGATTTTTTTTGCTTGTCTTAGATGCAGTTTGATTGACTTTATGAAGTATATATATCCTTTATACACAAGTCAGACATAGTATAGCATTCCTATCCTACAATCCCAGGTTCATTTTAAACTCTGTTATCCAGATTACATTTTTAAATTTTATTTATGAATTCTTTTTTAAAAAGTTGTTTAAAATAATACAAAGTATACA